GCTTCCCTAAGGTTGCAGAGCTGGCTCCTAAGTGCTGGGGTTCACGCCCAGGCTGTCTGACCCTACAGTCCTAGTCTCTGCTGTTTTAGCTTCCTACAGCCTTTTATCTCAGGGATTATCCTGACAATATAACCTAGGGCCCTTCCCCTATTCACCAGCTCCTGCTTCTGAGAGCAATAAGGTATTTTCTAGTTCTAAATTTATATACAAAATCTCTTTAAAGGTTTAATTACTTTGATTGCAGGTCTTGTACCTCAAACGAGATTTGTATGAAGTATTTAGTAGTTTACTGCTCAAATTTTCCCAGGAGAAACTTCTCAATGGCTATGGGTGAGATATATAATCTGAGAGATGAATTCAGGAACGTACTCAACTGTACTCCAAGTCTCAACAGCAATGGAAACCTCCTATCATCTCTGGGTGCCCACTGGGAGGAGAATGGGTGGGGGGGTGTGAATCCTGCTCAGACCCAGGAGATGCCACAAGTGCAGGAAGAGCAGCAGTGACAGAGCCCAGTGTCAGGGCTGCTTCTGGCCTCAAAGTCCAGCTCCCCCCTGAGGGCAGAGTAAGGCTCAGCAGCCAACAGGATTACACTGGGAGAGTGTTAGAAAAGCTTTACCATATTTTTTTGCTCCCCCAGCAGGATTCAGAGCAAAGCTACTGATGGAACATTCCAGATAATTCTACAGTGACCTTTGGGGGCTAAAGTTTGTAAACCAAGAACTTTTAATCCCACTGCCTTTTCTCATTTAAGCCCAGATATCATTTCCCAGACCTTGGGAAATCCACTCCTGACCCTTTATCAATTAGTCAGACAAAACTAACCTTTGAGGGGTTAGCATTTCTGGGCTCAAGGAAGCCGCAGAGGAGAGAGAACTAGAAACGCATTTATGAACAGACATTGGGTGCTTCCCCCAGGAACTCAGGCAGCAGCCCTGAAGTCACCCGAAGCTGGAGACAGAGCCTTGCCATAATCCTCAGGAGGCTGGCTAACCACAGAGGCCCCTGCCAGGCCAGAGCCCAAAGCCAGGAGCACAACCTGAGCCTCCAGCTTGACCACAAACCCTGCCTACAAGCCCACGATTTGTGAAACAGTAACTCTGTGAAAGCAGTAGGGCTGGAGCCCTGCCCCTCCGGTGGGAACGCTCCTCCTCTGATTGGCTGCTTCCCCACCCCAGGCCGGTCCACAGCAGAGGGATTTCCAAAACTGAGCCAGCTAAAGCTATTTAAAAACGACAGAATGTTACAACCGGAGCCTGGAAGGAGCCTCTAGCACAAACCTAATCCATTGCCCTCACTTTATAGAAGACAACTGAGATCCCAAGGAGAAGCTACAATGCACCGGCTCCCACCCCATAAGCCTCCCCAGAAGCACCTCAAGAAAAGATATGATGCAAACAACAGGATATACATACAGGCAGGCTGAGTTCTTTAAGAGGTTTGGAGGTTTGGGGGTACAAAAAAAATTCTGAGAAAACCCCTGTGCCCTGAAGGACTGCACTGCTGCTGCCAGCACTGTACTTGCTGAGTGGGGATCCCCCGGCTGCGGGCTGGGCTGGGTAATGATTCTAGTCAGCATGGCAGCCTGGTCTAGATTTCCTGAAATCTCGTGCATGGTATTTAGAGGGGTCGGGGGACAGTCACTCCCCCCCCCCCCGCACCCAGTACCAACTAGGTTCCAAATCACCCAGGAGGAAAAAAAGTTGAGAAAAACACCATATGGGCAGAGAAGCAGGGAAAAGAAAGACCAACTTTAGAACGTCCAGAAGAGGATTCATTCAGTACAAAAAAGACCCAACTGCAACCGCAGGGATGAAGAAGTCAGGAAATGCTACCACAGCAGCCAGCCCAGTGGCCAGCCAGCAGAGCTAATGGGTCAGACTGGGATGGAGGGGGCGGAGGTTTAAATTTAGCCAGGTAAACAGAGCTGCTGGGTGGAGAGGGCCTGGTAGGGGCAGGGTGATCACCTGCTCTTCTCACTGAAGGGAAAGTCCAGCCAGAACTGTACCAGGCGGCAGGTCGGCTTTGGGGACACCACCAACATGCTGGCCAGGGAAGCTGACCGGCTGCTCCTCAGAGAGGGGTAGGTGGTTATTTTTACTTTAAAAGGTGGCTTATATGAAACACTGTCAGGTCTTTTCATCTTTATCACAGTCTCTATTCCCAATCCCTCTGCTGGATGTTTTTGGACCTCTGGATGCACTATGCAGACACGCCACAGAAAACAGCGGACACCCTCAAGTGAAGGTGGGGAGCCCCCATATTCTCTCCTCACTAGGGGACTTTTATATCTATCGCTCTTACGAGTCTTGAAAGACCTGAAGGAGTTATAAACACCACAACAGCCCTGAGGATTGTGTTCAGATGGAGTCTGAAGACCTGTTTAGAAGGTTAGGGAGATAAATAACAGGCCGTTTGAAAGGGTGCTAGGGAGAACAAACTCAGGACGGCGAACAGGAAAGCTTCTGTGCACACACTGGTTTTTGTTTTACAGGAGGCAAGGGCTATCCCTTCACATAAAAAGTTTCTCCCCTGCTAGAGAGGCCAACCCATGGCAGAACTATCCTAGAAGCAAAAATTGGAACAGTCTAACCCTGGTCTTCTGCCCTCTTGAAGAAGTGCAAACAAAAAAAATCTTTCAGCCATCACTACAGTAAGAGGAGGGTGAAATAATCAGGAGAAGACAATCCCAGGTTTTTCCATCTCACAGCATATGGCTCCCAGCAATTTGGCAATACCCTTCTAACTTAAGCTTTTGGGATAGAAAATGTTTTAGAAAAGGGTTGTTTCAAGCCCAAAAGACACCCTTGGAGATATTACAACCACCAAATGTACTAAGGGGAGGATTGGTTTCAGACAGCCTGAGCAAACACCCACACACGTACCACGTACCCTCCCTCACTCATACTCATATTCAAACACACAAGAAATCAGAGCCTGGAAAAGTAGGAAACACATGGGTGGAAAGGGCCAACAAACTCCCCCAAGGCTACCTCCTGCTCCCCTGGCAGCCACACCTCCACAGTGTCACACACCCACTGTCCGATTTCCTTTAGGACAAGAAGGGGAGGTGTTGCTCGTGGCTGCCCTTAGCTATTTATCCACACATTGTTTCTTTATGTCCCTTTGCTGCTGCATTCACCTCCTATCTAGGTGTCAGCCCCACCTAGGCTCTGCCGGGTGGAGACCTGGCTTTAAGCCTGCCTCTTTCCCTGGGCTGCTGGGCCTGACCGCACCAGGAAGAGCCCAGATGCATCGCTCCTCTCACAAGGGCGCAAAGAGGTCTCTCAGCATTGCCGGTCCTTGCAAGGAGACACACCTGCTTCTTCGTGCTATTTATAGCCACAGACCTTTTGTGTCAGACACAACCAACACTATTTTGAAATGGAGGAAAACCACTACTCGGCCTCGCATAGGTTGGTGTGTTTGCCATGACTTGTGTGTGTATGCCTAGATAGGCATGTGGGCACAAACTCGAGCTCGTACCCAGCCACTCATGCTTGGGATTGACAGTCTTGCCTTTGATACATAAACCCCACATGTCAATCAGATAGCAGCAGGAGCGGCTGGCACCAGGAAAGGATCCTCAGGTTTTCTGAGGGTGTGCCCACTGCTCCCGGGGCCCTGTGCTGCCTTAGAGCCAGCCACCCATGTGCATACACGAGTGCTGATATGTGGCCGGGAGTGTGACCCTGCCCCACTGACCCAGAGGTTTCTGCACCCACACTGATGGCATGGCATAGATGTCCCATCCCAGTTCTGTCAAGTGGGCACATTCTTGGTGACTGGAGCGGTTCGGGGGATTGGTAACATGATCCTGAGCCTTTCTCTTCCAGGTACCAGGCTGAAACTCTGCCCAGGGTGGTAGTAAATGAAAGCTGCTGCCAACGTGGCTAGGTGGCAAAGCAGCTAAGAAGGCCCAGGAGAAAGTGGAGAGCAAGTCCCCCATTCACAGCTGGACAACCCACCCCAGGCCCCAGCCACCTAAGCTTCCCTCCCTGTAAACAGAACCAATTATGCCCCAAGCAAACTGAACGACCTCTCACAGCGATTTGCAGGATGAAAATATCTAGGAAATGAGAGTCTGATTAGAGTGCATGGTCAAATATCCACGAGGATCCACGAGAAGATGGAGAAAGGTCACTTCCCACTTCTCCCAAGGCAGGGACGGATGAGCATAAGGAGCGGAGAAGCAATGAAAGAAAACTGAACATTTGGAACACCACTCAGGGCTTGACCTGCTCCGGGCTCGAGCAGGCATTCAGGCACCAAGCTAACACTGCTATGAGGGTTAAAATAATCCAGATGCGGTCCTCGCCCAGTCTGGCTGATGCAGGGCGCGGACCACAAGCAGAGGATTCCAGCTGGGCCTGACCAAGCCTGGAAATGTGAGCAAGAAGCTCGGAGGGGCTCAGCTTCTCGGACAGGCGCAAGCAGGGCCCCGGGCAGTTCTTGCGCACGACCGAGAGCGGCAGCTCCCTGGCCACCTCCTGGGTCGCCCAACCCTCGGGGACAGAGAACCGTGAGCGTCCGAGCTGCCGGAGAGGGCGAGGAAACCCTACGCTACCTGCCCACGGCCGGAGCGCGCCCCCCGCGCCGCACACTGGCTGGAGGCAGCAGCGGCCCCAGCTTTGTTCGCGGCCCCGGGAGAGGGATCCCCTTCCCCTTCAGTGCTCCCTGCCCCCCACCTGACGGGGCTGCTGCCGGCGCTGTGGACCCGGCTCCAAGCCAGCTTCACCAAGTCTCCTCGCAGAGGGCAGGCAGGGTCCCGCTCCCCGGACCTCCTTATCCCTCCGCGCTCCCGGGGACCGAGCCCCTGCGGCTCCCAAACCCAGTCGGCCCGCGGGAGCCGAGGGGGCGGGAAACCCGGGAGCTCTAGGAAGTTTCGGAGGCCGGAGCCGAGGAGGGGCGCCTCCGGGCAGCGAGGCCAGGGACTGGGGGCTGGGGGCGGCGACAGCCCGCGAGCGCCCCTTTCCCGCAGCGGACAGCCGGGCGCTTACCTGCATGTACCGCCGCTTGTCGGGCCCGCGGGCTCCGGCTCCTCCAGCGACGGCTGCGCTGGGTCCGCCGGGCGCCACGGCGGGCGGAGGCGCGGCGGGCGGGGGCCTCGGAGCGGCTGGGGGCCCTGCCCGCTCCTCTCAGCGCGCGGGCCGCTCGGGCCGCCGCACAAGACTCTTCATCCGCGGCCCGGCGCGCTCCGCTCTGTGGGTCCCGCCGAGGAGTCTGCCAGCCCTCAGGTGCTGGGCCAGCCTCTGCGGGGAGCGCGCTGCCCGGCCCGGGCGGCTCCGGCCCTCGGAGTCCGCGCTCGCCCCTGCCGCCGGGAGGGCTCCCTGCTCGGCGCCCGGGACCCCGCGATCGGCCCGCGGGGAAGTCGGGTGCGGAGCCCGCGCCGCGGAGAGGGAGGCCCTGGGCCCTGGGCGCCGGGCTCGGCCCCCGCCGTCGGTAGTCGCTGGGCTGCGCGCTCTTCTCTGGAGCGCGGGACCCCAAGAAGTTTCGGCCCACCGCGTCCGCCCCGCCCCCGCGCATGTTCCCCGCCCCCGGCGAGAGAGCGGGCCGCAGCTCTCTCCTTCCCATCCGCGAGCCAGCGACCCCTACACCCCATCCTGGACTCCTCCCAGTCACTGGGACCCTGACCTCCGCACCTGCCCCACCGCCCCGGCGGACTCGCCTTCTCCCTCGGCACCTCGGCGGAGCAGCCTGAGCCTTGACTGGGGGTGCGAATGGGAAGCCCCCGCCCCCTAGGCAAGCCGCCCAGCCCCCTCCTCGGCCCAGCGCACCCACCTCCACTTGCTCCCGAACTCGACTCGCTCTTCCCAGAGGACCACTGGCCTTCCGCAGGCCAGCGGCACCCACGGTCGCCCAGCGCCCCTGCCAGGAGCACCCACCTCAAGGGCTGCGGAGCTGGAGGCTCTGAGAGGGGAGTTACATCAGTAGCTCTTATGTTTACATCAAACTCTCTCACGCGCTTTATCCTCCTTCGAATTTGCCCCAAAGCAGTAGAGCGATGTTACTTCCGCTTTACCAACCCAAGTCATTCCTCTCCTGGTCCTGGATTTTTTCTACAGCACCCAGCAGAGAGATCTCTGGGATAGGAAATTTGATGGGGGTGGGGGGCACACCAAGAAAAATGGTTCCAAACAGGAAATGCGTTCTCTCATCACTTAGGTGTCAGCTTCAGGTATGAATTATTCATCTGACTCTTTATGGGGAAACCCAAGGCAGAGAAAAGTGGCACCACCAGTCCCTAGTCACAAAAGGGTGTCAGTGGCCTGAAAAGTCATTGGAGTTTAGTTTTCAGCCTCAGCTCAAACTGAAGTTTCAATACTTAATTGAGGTTCTGAAGTCCTGTTTAGTAGCCGCCCCAGAGGGAGTTAGCCAAGTTCCCACAGGATGCAGGAGGTCAAACCCCAGCGGCTGGGTCCTGTTCCAGACTTGGTACCAGGGCCCCAAGCAGGAGTAGCCAGCACTGCTCCAGGCCTGCCCCCCCATCTGCCTTTTCTTTTACCTTCGGAAACCCATCTCTTCCCTGAGTGAGTAGGAGCCTGCCTGGCAAAAGAAACTGCCTTTGAGTGAGTACAGTGGGAAAAAAACCCCCACAAAAAAACGATAGTAATAATCCTAGGCTTTGTCTTTTCTTAATTAATAACCAAACGAGGTGACAGCCTTTCCCTTTCAGTGGGGGAAGGGGCCGCAGGAAGGGTGAGAAATGAGGGATCAGAAGCCCACCACCTTGAGGTGGCAATAAGGAGCTATTGTGCTCCGGGTTTTACAATAAGGAAACTAAGAGCTGTTTGAGCAAATACCTGACTAATTAGAGGGAAAAGCTTTCTTGAAATTGCGCTGGCTTGGGCCGGAGGTGCACTAGATCTCACCTCGCAGTGAATGGTGTTTATGAGACCTGGTCCAGCAACCTTAAGTGAATGATCTATAATTGCCATGGGTCAGGGGCTGCCTTCACTGACGGGGGCTAGTTCAAGGCTTTGCCTTTGGGAGCAGATGGGACAGGGAGCAGAGCTGGTCTAAAGCAGGCATAAAACCTCCAGGTCCACTTTGTCAAATCACAAAGATGCTTGGCCCCTCTCCTCCTCAGAATAAAGCATCGGTTCTGGGATTGAGGTCTGCGGGAGGCCAAGGGAAGGCCCTGTCCAGGAAACCCTGGTCTTTCTGGAATGCCACCTGGGAGAATTTGTTCATTCACATCATACATACATTTATGGAGCCCTACACATACAAAGATGCCTGAGACCAGTTCCCAACCTCAGGAAGTTTAAAGTCTAAAAGAGTGATGTAGGGGTGGGGAGCCAATTTCTCATTTGGGGCCTAGAATGCACACAAGAAGGGACAACTTTGCTCAGTCCCTCGCTGACGACCCAGGAGGAGAGCAGGTGACAGATGACAGCAACACCAGCTGAATGTCCCACACGTAGCTCTGCACCTCCCGCCATCTCCGTCCAAGATGAGTCAAAACTTGTGGCCCAGTAAGGGAGGCTACAGTGCCCCCAGGAAAGGAGCTTGTGGCTGAGTAGCTGGGAAAACATCTGAATGAGGAGGCCTGGGCCAGCTTCCCAAGGGAAGTGGCGAGCGCCCCTTTGCTTGAGTCACTGAGCTGCTGGGGAGTCTACAGCCAGCCCTGGAGGCAAGTGCTGATGAGAATGAGACAGATCTCACCATGTTTTGTCTGTGATTGCTAGGTGGAGTCTCTTGCCTTCTCCCCCAAATAAAATATATCCCAATTTGGCATTTGTGGTTGAAACAAAGAAAGAAGAAACACGTATTTGGACGTATGGAAATTAATGATTCCTACTCTGTTTACTGGAGACACTGTTCCCCCTTCCTTGTCATGTCCTCCCAGGCCACCAGCCACACACAGAAGTCTCTTCCAAGCTAGAATGTATAATAAAAATGCTATTGGAAAGAGTCAGAGAGGAGCCATCCTCCTCCATGTCCTTAGCTCTCTGTGGCTTTCCTGTGGGGTACATCTAGGGTGCCCTCCGGCCCTGGGGCTGTGCATTCTTAGGGCAATTGTTCCCTTTTCCATCCCAACGCCAGGAGGAAGAGCTTCAGGTGGCACTGCTGTTCCTGCTGCTGGTGGTGGCCAGAGGAAAGCACCCCTGTTGTGGTAGAGTCCTTCATTCCATCCCAGTCTGCTTCTCTGGCCCCTTTGGAAAGGGTTACTTGGGATGCACAGAAAATCTCTTGGGGGAACCAACCTGATGAGCCTTTGAAGCCCAGAGCAAGACAGAGAGGCAAAGCTAATAACCTTTTATCCCAACAGGCACTTTACCTGTCTCCATTGTCTGTGTTATTCAGTGTTCATTTTTGTGTTTGTTATCTAGATGTTTTTCTAAGAACGAGGGCTTAAAAAGCTGGTAGATTGTAACCCAAATATTCAAACACTGCCCATAGATCACCCCTACAGACTCACAGTACCTGAGACAATTTGGGATACCTGGATGAGGGGAATTCTAACAGCTGAAGGCACAGGGTTGAACTCTGCTATCATGAGTTCAAATCTGGAGCTGCAGTTTCCTTCTGGGGAAAAGTGTTTGCACTAAGAATCCAGCAGCTCAAGGAATTTGTATAAAGGTAGAAGGAGGCGAAACTATTCACAGTCCCAACACCTGGTATGCGCAGAGAGCTTACCAGTTTATAAACTGCTTTTACATTTTTATCTTAATTGAAATCCATTAAATGAGAACAGTCCCGCTCATCTCACTTGGAGCATTCTCCTCTGACCAATTCTCCCCCAAAGAGAGGCAACTGCCCCCCAGGGAGAGGGTCGAGCGTGATTACTGAGCAGGTGGCTCTGAGTCAGCCCAAGGGGAGTTCAGACTCACTACCTTTGTGATCTGGGGAAAGATGCTGTCTCTTTAAGCCTCAGTTTCCTCGTCTGAAAGGCAGTAGTGGTAAGGTCACCTTCCCCATGGGAATAGGAGAATTAAATAGGACAATGCAGATAAAGAAACCAAGAACCATGTCTTCCATATAGTATGTGCATAATAAATATTAATAATAGCATTATTACTTTACATAAACATGACCTGGTTTTCCATTTGGACAGTCTAATGTTGCTCTCAGTCCTTGAACTCCTGGATTTTAACCCCGTTTTTTTCTCCTAAGAGGAGACAAACAGAGTCCTACATAGTTCCTTGAACAAATGGCGGCTTTACAAATCTCTAGAATGAAGCAGTAGAAGGTGTCACTAAACACTGGCAAATCCAGAGACCCCGCAGACTGGAATGAGAAGAGTACCTTTATCCCGTCAGTGTCACTTGTTAAGTTCCAGTAAAAGGAAAGGGGAAGTTCTGATGTATGTGGTCCTGTTAACATGCTGCCCTAATGCTCAACCAAAAGACGAGGCACCATTTGAAACTGTAATCAACACGGAGTGCTACTTTCCCACTTGAGTCTCTACCAGCCCCATGTCCCTCCTGTTTCCCCTTCTCAACTTTCACCAAAGTCCTCCCAGGTATTCTGTATGGAGGGACATTGTAGAAGAAACAGACAGTGAACCTGCCCTCAAGGGGCTCTGCTGTTGTAGTGGGCTAGGGTACAAGTGAATGGGAACAAACAGAGGACAGATGGCCATGTGTGCATCCCCCGTGCTGAGCCCCGGCAGCTCACAGCCATCAGGACTGAGGGTGGCAGCCTGGGCTCACCCCTTCTCTTCCTGAGGAGCTCTGTACCTTTGGCAAGTGGCCTCCCCTCTCTGGGCCTCAGTGACCTCACTAAACAAATCTGTGATTCAGTCAAAGGGGAAATCGAGGAAGGTGGTAGTGTGGGTGGAAGACAATGAATTTGACTTCATATACATTTTGTTTGAATGTCAGTGGGGCCATTCAAGTGTTGACAGCAAAAAACAGTGAACTGGAAGAAGTGTTAGAGGTCAGGGTGGCTGGAGAGGCAGTTTCAGTGAAGTGAGCTGATGACACTGAAAGCCAGCCGGCCCAGGGTCAAGGCGGGGAGAGATGGTGAAGAACAGAGTGTGGATAATCCCTACAAGTTTAACTGAGAAGAAGAGAGGGGGGACTAGAGGGGCCGGGAAGGGGCACTAGGGTCAAGTGATGTGTTTTTCACAATAAGGGAGCCCTGGGACATGCTTGAGAGCAGAGAGAAGAAAAGCGAGGAGGGTGAGAAATTCCTGTTAAAAAGGGCTGGGAGGAGGCTGGGAGGAGGCTGGGAGGAAAGGGAGGCCAGGAGCCCAGCTAGGGGTTCACATTCCAAAGTATGAGGCGCCCCTTCCTCCTTCTTCTCTGGAGTCAGTTGGTTGGTTACAACAGGAAAGAGAGA